ATTGAATTGTCTTCTGCTGCTGTACTTTCATCTTTTGTAAAATTTCAAGAATTTAATAGTATATGTTGACAAGTGAAGTCTGTCATGAGGTATGAATTTTGCAGGGAAAGTTTTCCCCTTTTGTTTTTGTAATTTAATTTTGATCAGATGGTGAGTGTGTTCAATAATTCCTTGACCTTGAGGGTTATAAGAAATCCTCGTGATAAGGGAAATGTGATAAGTTGTATAAAACCTTTGGAAAGCATCACTTGTATGTGCTGGACCATTGTTAGTCTTACGTGTCCGTGGGCAGCCAAGGGCACTGAAGGCATTGAAGCAGTGAGCAATGACATGTTTGGCTGCTTCACCAGCGGAGGCAGAAGCAGAAATAAACCCTGAGGAAGTGTCCACTGAAATGTGGACCCAGTGTAAGGAACCAAATTCAGGAATATGAGTGACGTCCATCTGCCAAAGATGACTGAGGTGTAACTCTTGGGGATTATCCACATAGAAGGCAAGGGAAGTTGTATTATACATGAGGAACATTGTTTAACAATTTCTCGGGCCTGTTCCTGGGTCAAATGGAACTGTTTGCGTAAGACAGAAGCATTTTGATGAGAGGTGGCATGGGAAGCAGAAGCTTGTTGAATGGTATCTGAGGGAGTAACAGTGACAGCACCCAGCAGTCTGTCTACAGCAGTGTTCCCCTCAGTGAGAGGCCCTGGTAATTGGGAATGAGAAGGTATATGACCAATAAAACAGGGAACATGACATGATCGTATGACAACATGGAGAGTGTGCAGTATATGAAAAAGATCTCTTAACCAGTGTGTATAGTGGCAGTTTCAGTGTGGCGCATTACACTGCAGACATAAGCACTGTCTGAAAAGAGGTTAATTGGAATAAATGAATGATCTTGCAAGGCCCATATGATTGCTTGTAATTCAGTCTTCTGTGCAGAAGAGAAACCTGTATGCTGTATTCTGGAAGAGGAGGCTGTTATATAACCTCCCCTACCTGAAGATGACCCATCCATGAAGATGTAGATTTCTCCTGCTATGGGGACTCAGCTTATTTTTGAAGGGAAGACAAAGGGTATAAGGGAAGCAAATTGAACTAATGTGTCTGAAGGATAATGGCAATTAATAACACCAGAGAAATTAGCCCAAAAGCTGGATGGAGCTAATTAACATTGTCAAAGTCTGAAAATCATTTTAGATTGATCTAACAGTTTGGGGTAAACTGTTTTTATTGGAACAGGTGATCCAAATATGAAGAAGGTATCATAGCTTGTACCCCTTTGGAGGCCACCACCAGGCCTGCCACTATTTAAATGGGATGTGAAAATCAAGCAATTATTTAAACTCCACTGTTTTTAGATTGTACTACAACTTTTATAAGTTTGTAAAATACTAAAGCTTTTCTATACCAATTTAATTTAGGACTGTAAAACCAGCAGTCAACCTTATTAGGAATCAAGAGAGCACCAGAGACTTATAAAACCTTTTAAACCAACAGCATATTCTATATATGATGTCAAGAAGACTTATTAAAGCAAGACAGTTTTATTAGCTGTATAATTTAAAATGAGGAAATTTTTGACTATAACTCTAAAAGGCCAAAGCCATCACTGAACTATACATTTTTTGAGACAAGGGGCAAAATTTTTATTTGTGGGAATTATGATTATTTATTTATTTATTTATTTGACATGAGGTATTGCTATGCAGTTTAGGCTGGCCTTGAGTTCACCTTGTAGCTCAGGCTGGCCTCGAACTCGCAGCAATCCTCCTGCTGCAGCCTCCCGAGTGCTGGGATTACAGATGTACACCACCATGCCAGGCAGGAATTATGATTTTTTAAAAAAGTAATCTTTTAAATATCTCCATTAAAGCAAATCTTAGGAAATATGATTTTTTTTTTTAACTAAAGGCAAACTTTTATCTTGAGGATGGAAACAGCCTTTTAAACTTAATCACTTCAAGGGGAAAATGTTTTTTTTTTGGTACAGGGACTTGAACTCAGGACCTTATGCTTGCCGTGTAGGTGCTGTGCCCCTGAGCTATCTCTCCAGCCCCAAGAAAGTGTAAAAGGTTCTCTTTTAGTGTTAATTGTAACAGAGAAAGAGAGAAAAAAACCTGCTCTGTTCCCTGTGAGGCTTTATTCCCTGTGAAGCAGAAATTCCCTGGGAGGCTCCATTCCCTACTGAGAGTGGCCCTTTGCATCTCTCCAGGTCAGCAATCTAGCACCTTTGTTATTCCAGACCTGTAGCTGCCACACCTGGAGGTGCCACATCTGCACTTGTGTCTAAAAGCACTTTAAAATGTTTTTCCTTTAAATAATTGATTCCTAGAAGCCAGGCTAGGTGGCGCATGCCTGTAATCCCAGCACTTGGGAGGCTGAGGCAGGAGGATCGTTGCCAGTTCAGGCCAGCTTGAGCTATAGTGAGCTCCAGGCCAGCCTGAACTGCATAGTAAGACCTTCTTTTTTTATTTATAATTTTTAAATTTATGTCAAATGAAAATGATCATTTGAGCAATATGAGAGTCTGGGGTAATTTAAGCGATGTTTTAAGTAATTGTTTTTCCCTGTATAGTCCCAGTCTGACACCAGGCAAAACCTGGAGACCTCTTTGTATTAGCGCTCTGCCTCTGGTTGCTGGTTTTACTCAGTTGCTGGGCAAGCTGGTAGCAGCAGCTACTGTCTTAGTACAGGGAATGAACTCCATCACCCACATTGCCCCGCTTCCAAAGCAAAGTGGGGGCTATTGCTTATAGCCACAGCCACTTGCTGAGAGGAGAGGGACAGGAACATGTGCAACCACTATGTGTGCCAGCTGTTGCTTTTGCTCTGGATGTCCCATTTTTGCCTGAATTTTAAGTGCAGGCACTGTTGTGAGCTGAATGAACTTTTGGTGCAGATAGTGCACACACCAGTGTCAGTGGCAGCAGCAGCAGGGGGGAGCCAAGGTGCACCGTGTTCATGTCCCACCCATTTGGTTCCAGGCACACATGCCTGTAGTTGATGGCACATACCAACTGCCATGGCTGGATTGGGTGTGCAGATGCGCAGCACAGGTGGCTGGAAAATCCCAGCTGGGTCTGTGTAGATCCAGAGCATGAGCTCTCCCTGAACCTGACCTGCACCCCTACGCCTAGCGGCAATGCTGTGCTGCTTGGAACTAGCCACAAGTAATTTAAAAGAATTTTTTCCTTTTTCATCTAATTGAGCAAAGGTAGAGGATTTAAGCTCTTATCAGCGAGACCTTTGTTTTGCCCTCCTTTTTCTGCTCAGGAGTTGATTTTAAAATAGTGCTCCATGCTAAGTCCTTCGTGGTGGTCTTAAAACGCAAGGTAAATACAGGAACCAAGAAAACAACAACCATTTTAATGTACATATATATACATCTACAAACATCTGTGGTTCTTGAGACTCTTGTTTATCCCATTTTTAACTACTAGCAATTCAATATCCCTTTCTCCACTTAGTTTCTTTGAAGCCTATATATTTTCTGGTCCTAGAGGACCATATGCCTATGCTTTACACCTGATGTGCCAGTACCAAGATACTCCATTGCTGAATACTGGCTCCACCAGTGTGCTTCCCCACTCTGTTGCACGCATTTGGGAAGCATTCCTACTGACCATTATTCTCTCACCTGGTGTCCCTGTTCGGGTGCCAAATGTAGGGATTTGTTGGCTTCTCAGTGTACCCTTGGGAGGAGCAGTGGTGGGAATGAGCAAAAGATAGACAAGAGACAAAAGTTAGGTCAGGTGGAGACCTGACCTCTTTACTGGGTGGGTAAGAAAGAGGACCTGAACAACAGTAGGGGTGTTTATTTATACTCTTGCAAAGTTAGTATCAGAAGATACAAGGTTGCCTAGTGACTAATGACTGAATGATGCTTTTCTCAAGACTGAGATAGCTTGACTGCTTTAGGCACTGTGGCCTTGTCTTGCCTCCACACATATAACCAATTTCCAGCTCCAGCAGATCCCAACACCCATAACTACAAATATGCCTTAGTGTCTTTATTCTCGCCATGGTTTGTACTAAAAGTGGTCGATTAGAATTAACTCACTAGAATTCCAATAACTTTTCAATGGGATTACACATATAAATGGGATTACACATTTCAATGGGATTACACATTCCTGGGCCCCAATGAGGACTGGGAAGTACTCTCTCTATATATGTATGTGTATGTGTATGTATGTATACTCTATATGAGTGTTTTATGCTTGTTCAAAGCATTAAGACATTGGTGGTAAATTAGATGTTAATGAGGGAAAAAGTTGTTAAGGGTTTACTCTTCTTTTTTTTTTTTTTTTTT